AAATACAACAAACAAGTTATACAATAAAAAATATTTTTAATCCTAATTAAATTAGTTAGGATGATGAAATCGATTATTTGGATTATTTTGGTCCATTGGTGGTTGAGATCGGTAATCATATCTTGGTGGCAAGTATGGTTGATGATGTGGATAATTATGTCTTGGTGCGTACATTGGATCATAATACCATGGATTGTATGGTTGRCGGTAAGCGTGACTGTATTCCATTGAACTCAAATGCTGAGCATAAGTAGGGAATTGTCTGGGACTGTTATGTTCAGGGTTACCATAATTAGGAATAGGAGGGTTGTATGTTTGATGAGTTTGATTATTGAAATTTTGATGAGATGGACGTGGTGTTATACTCCTTGGTGTCATATTCTTCCGTGTCATATTCCTCGGTGTAGGGTTATTCCTAACCACACGTTGACTGGGAGGATCAGGCGATTTCTCTTTATCTACTGTATCATTATCTTCTTCTGAAGGTTGTGAACATTTTTTCTGTCTTCGTTTTTTCTTGGCTAACTTTTCTGCTTCGTCATCAGAATAATCTAAAAACTCACAAGGTGGTTCATTATTGTCTCTCCAGGAAGCATCGCTTCCTTTCATTTTCAAAAGCTGAGACACCAAAACATAGCTTGCGTATTCTGTCTGAGGAGCACAGTATACAGGCTCCTTAATTTGTATATCAAATTTTTTGATATGATTAGAATTGTTAAAACGGACCGCATAAAAGGGTTTAATTACAGGCCCAAATACATCAAATATTCTTCCTAAAGCTCGTTTTCCTCGATCCACAAATAATACAGAGTCAATATCTAATGCAGGTTGGTTTAAAAATGCTTCAACAATAACTGAAATACAAAAAAACAAATTAAATTATGATTTTGTTATTTAACAAAAAATATTATATCAATGTATTTTATGAGAATTTTGCATTTTAAAAGCTCATAGATGGTTCAACTAAAATTTGAAAGTTATACTCGCCTAAAGTATCAACAACACTTTTTATACATCCAACTGGTTGACATTTGGCCTCGTCAACTGATATTTTTAAATCTTCAATGGGTGGAAGATCACTAATATCTAATTCTCCTTTGGTCTTAACATAATCTTTTGGAAATGTACTGGATGATACAGAAATGATGCTATTTTCATTATCAGAATCAATCAACTGATCAACATCATTAGAACCATCATCACTACTAGTATCGCTATCATCAGAACTATAAAAAACGAAATATTGTTAAATATTTTATAATTAATTGTATAGAGAAGCTGAAAGTAGTGAAGAAAAAATAATAAATAATAATGTTTAACATTAACACTATGTTTAGACAAAAGTTATTTTAATTTTTATCACAGTAATAATTATTACTAAAAATTAAATATTTCAAAAATAAAAATTTAGATAACTAAAATTATAAACAAAATAAGCCCCATTTATTTTAACTAGCCGAATGTATACTCAATGAAGATAGATTTTTAATTTTTGGTAGTTCTAAACACCTAATTATCATAGTTTTTTTTAAATAATTTTTTCTAATAATTTTAAAACTAAATTTTTAATAGCGCTAAATTTTGTATTTAATAATTATTAGGTCAAACTACAAAATATATGTTAATATTCAAATAATAAAAAGCAATTGACAAGTATTAACACATAATATTTCTCGAAAACAGAGTACAGGTACACAAACTTCTCACTAGGTTCTTATCATTTAGGACACTAAGATAATGCACAAAAAAATAAAATGTTGATCACCATAATTGTTCATAAATATATTGTTCTAAAACAGTTTACTGAGTGTCTAAGTAATATTTATTTATAAAATGTTAATTTATTTCGATATTCTTTGAAAAAATTATTTAAGCCTTTTATTGTATTATTGTTTATTATACTCTATGCCACGAGAGAAGTCACCCGTGTCCCGACCAAAACGCAATCTAATTTATGCATGTATGCACACTACAGCGCGAACTTTAGATGACAAAGTGGGGGAAACGGAGYCTAGTACCGCTAGCTAGTCTGCATGCGAGAAACGGGTTCCTTCTCTCGTGGCGCAGAGTACAGTTTGTACGTTCTATAGAGACCACGACAAGAACATTTTATAATTGTAAAATATTTTCAATAACATAATTTATATATAATTTTGATTATAATTAGTCAAATTAACAATCAAAATTTTGCATTAATTGAATACAATCAAAAAGCGATAAAAATCATTTAATAATTGACTAATTGAATTTTTTATTATTTATAAAATACAAAATATAATCAATTAAAATTATTGATTATATAAAATGATCGCATCCTAATCCAGAAAGTCCCATTCATTTGTCCATGTTTAGTTTTATTAACAGAAATTACATAATAAATTACATAATATAAATATAAACTTGAGTATTTATATTAACTAAAAAAATGATACTTTTAAACAAACTCTTATTAAATAAACATAAACAAATTATAAGATGTATACCTTGAGTCTTGGTAATTTGCAGAAATTAAAGAAAGTGTTGATGATAAATTTCCTTTGGATAATACAACAGCGGACCTAAAMAAAACAAAATTAAATTAAATGAAGTTTGGCAATACATAACATAAAGAAATTGATACAAATTACTTTGAATTTGATTCAGACAATTCATCACAATTTGTTACATTTTCCTGTGTAGTAATCAAATCTTTTGAAGCATCAATTTTTCTAAGAAAAATGTTTAAACCTTAGATATTATTTCATTAAAATGTATATTTGATTAAGATATTTGTAAAAAAAAAACAAATATCCATGCAAAGCAGCAGCTATGAGTAGGTACAACAAATTAAAAAAAAAAAATGGTGCATGTTTAAGGCAAACAAACTATAAAATATCTAATTTAACTTTTTTAAATTAATAAATTAATACCTACTTTGATTTTTCATAATTTTTAGATATACTGGCAAATGAGCATGGTAATTCTACATCATCCAAATCAGCTGGCCCTGAGCTAAAAAATAAACTTTATCAATACTTACATATAAATACATGAATTACCAATTAAACAATTTTTATTATGAAATACTTACAAGCTACCATTATGAGTATATCAAAGCACTTAATTTAATTCTCTGACCCAAATTCAAAACATAAAATGTTTTATTTAAATCTTAATTTTAAATTGATTTACAACTTATAACTGTGTAAGATATGATCATTTTAAAATTTTTATAACTTGCTTTAAAATTAATAAACTAATAAAATACTATGGAGTATCTTAGATGAATTTTTACTAGAGATGTTACGAACCATAATATTTAAGGTCGAACCGAACCCGAACCGAACTTTTCTTTAAATTAACGAACTCGAACAGATCCGAACCWACACACTTTTAATCGAACCCGAACCGAACCGAACTCTTCAAATATTTTATCGAACATTAAAAGTTAAATTGGGTATTATTTTATTTAATATTTAATATTTATTTATTTATC